CCGTTCTCAGCAAATACCTAAGCCCCTGGAAATGTTCTAAGCACTGGGAGGCACATCCATAGAAAAAAAATCCCTGCCCTCATAGAGCTTATATTATACTCAGGCTTTTTTCCACAGCAATGCATTTATTGACTGGCATCTCCCTCCCTTGCGTGGCTGCGCCCTGTCCAGAATGATGAGCCCCTTGCAGAAAGACAGGCAGTTTCGATCCTCTTCGGCTCCCTCTCCGGGCCCACTTTCCACAAAACAAGTCCTGCGAGTAAATGCTCTACTTCTGCGCTTTATCTTCCACCTTGGAATCAAATGCTCTTTCCCCGAATTCCTAAATTGGAATGGATTTGTCTCTGAAACAGGTACTTTAACTCAATAATCCAGTTCAACATCGAGGAGTTTACTCATTCGGCAACTTCAGCTGCTGCCTTGAAGCTAATGACTTTTAAATTATAACTATCTACTCCCAACCTAGCCTCTCAGCTCTAGGCACCCCCGATGGAACATACTTGTTACCTGGCCCGCGAGGCCCACCTCCCTGTCTCCCTGTCTTTCCAGTGTGTTTCCAGCTGCCGGCCTCGGAGCCTGCGCACTGGCCTCCGGGGCCTGCCAGCAGCGGGCCGTGGCCTCCCTGCTCACTCCCAGAGACTCCCCGTGTGGCGCCAGCGCTCACCCCGCCCCAGCCCCATTCCTGCAGGGGCTTGTGGCTGGCTGGCTTCAGTTTCTGGTGGGCTTCAGAGTCTGGCTGATGATGTGATCGCAGGTTTGTGGAAAGCTCATCACAAGTGTGAGTCCAGCCTTAAACTGTGTCCACCTGGTTTTCCTAAGACTTTGTTGCCAACCGACGCGGAAGCTGTCAGTTTCACTTGTAGACACTCAGAGGCGACAAGACAGTGTCCTGAGTGAGATGTGGTTGGTCCCCTGGCCTGAGCTTGCAGGACAGGCGTCTGCTCCCCTTTAACTCTCTCCTTGGGAGGGAGCTCACCCCCGCTGCCTGGCCAGCCATAGCGCCCTTAGACGCACAGCGCGCTGTGACTGTGTTCTGAGCCACCCTCAGCCTGGGCTTCTCATTTTAGCTTTGGGTTTCTTAATTCATATCTTTCTTAGTAATTTTCTGTAGTTTGAATGTAGTTTTTCATGGACTTTGAAATTAATTCACGTAAACTAGAACTAGTCCACCGTTAGTGTTACTGTTACTCATAGACCAGGGGTTATTTTCTTTTTCTCAGTTAAGTCACAATTCGGACACGTTTGAAACTCATTCCATTACACATAGAAGAGCCTGCAGTTCAGGCTTGTTGAGAAGCCATGAATTAGCTGAATTAACATGTGGGCAGACGTTTCTGGATTTGTCGGTTCACTGTGTCTCCTGGAGTTTGCTGTCCAAGCCCAGGTCAAATTTTTCACCCCAGTGTTGGCCAGCTCTGCCTGGGGGACACCGTGCTCCCCGCTGTCCGTATCCCTCCTTGTGAACCGCTTTGTGTCGGAGGAGCAGCGGTTTCTCCTCTTTCTCTCCTCCAAGCTCAGCACCGCGCCTCCTACATAGTTGCGCTCACCAGTGTTTCATTGAAGGACCCGTCGCTGCAGGACTCAGTGTTAGGCGGCAATAGCATGTGAGGGAAGGAATGATAGTGAAACTGGGTAATCATCCCCAGATCAGCCCTGGACGTAAAAAAATAAAAATAAATAAAAAGCTGTGTGTGTAAACGCTTACCTTGCTATCTACGACAGGATCTTGAAACCAGTTTACTTTTCACCTGCGCAGACCCTCCCGCCGCAGCCCCTGAGCAGTAGCTTCCCTCCTGCATCCGCCCCGCACCATCTGCCCGGGGCCACCAGCCGCCTTGCTACCCCACCATCTCCCGTCACTCACCTGGTCAGAGGCTTCATGTGGTCTTTTAAGGAATTCTTTTTTAATGTGCTATGTAGCTATTTGATTTTAAATTGCACTAAACTTTCTGGAACCGTGCCAGGTGCTTGCTAGAATTTCTGATGCTATCTGTGTAATCTTTGGGTGGAAGGGGGAAAACTCCATTGAACTTTTGTGGTAATAAAATTATTGCAGTTGAGCCCTACATCTGTTAGCTGAACTTCCTGTGGGTTTTCACCAGATCACATGACTGACAGCAGAGACAGCCTTTAAAGCTTTTGGTCTGCATGTTGTACCCGAGTCTCAACCACCAAATGAGACCTTTGCTTTGTCTCTGGGCTGGGCGTCCGGATGTCCCACTGTGGCGGGTTGATTCACTGGAGCTGATAAAAACATTCCGGCCAAACTCGAGAGTCTAGCATTACCTCTGTCTCCAAAAATCAAAACAACAGGATTGTTGTAAGTAGCTTTGGGCTGAGACCAAGCTCCAAGCCTGAGAGATGGGTTTTCTCTCCACGTTGAGCTGAGTCACAGGACAACCGCCTTGGAAAGAGAAGGGAGCAAGAGCCTGAGGTGACCAGCCCCCGGGCCCCTGCTCCCTCATTTCAGATGGATTCTTTCCATAACTATCAAATCAAAGCCCCCGTTCCCCCGAGCCCCGTCCCCCACTGTCCCAGGCTTTAGTGGTCCTCAGGCACATCTACCCAGTGGTCACTGGCTGGAGCCCAGAGCGGCCTGAGCGCTGGAGAGCAGGCGGGCAGAGGGCAGCTGGGAAAGCCTGGCCGTGGCGAGTAGCCTGGGCCCTGGGCGGCCGGCGCCTTGTTAACTGAGTGAGACGGGAAGACGCTCTTGCGCGAGGAGGCGGGGCCTCCCTCAGCCATCAGGGGATGGCATTCCTGTTCCCTGCAGGCCTGAGGAGAAACATCAAGGAACGAGTAGCTTTTTCAAGGTTGTTGATCTGACATTCAGACTGACATTTCTTGGACTGAATCCTGACACAATGTGTCCCCGATGTCATTAGTGCTAAATAAAACCTTTTGTCTTTCTCTTCCTTTGCTCTCAGACTTCTACGACATATTAGAAGAGCACACATTTATTTTAATGTCTATTTAAATCTCAAACCATGCTGGCCTTCTCTCTAGATTTGGAAGATTTGGGAAGGGGTCCCAGGAAACACAGCCTGGGCACCCGCTGGCCAGCTCTGCAGAGGCTGCGCTCACACTCCCTCAGCCTGACTGAGTGGTGTTTTCGGAACGCTTTTATGATGCATGCCTATTATCCACCCTTTTAAAATGTTCCCAGCACCCTCTTAAAAACAACTCACCGCAGGAAAAAGGAAGCTCTTTACTCTGCTTTCAAATGTTAGCTCAGTGTGGCAGGTCCTAGAGGACAGGCTCTTGTTGTTCTTGCTTTTTATGCTTTATCCCCCCTTCTGAGCCTTTTAAGTGCTGATGAAAAGTTCCAAGCAAATAGCCCAGGAAACAATATCTCAGCTCACCTGCTCCCTCGAGGAGAGAGGAGCTGGCGCTTCAGGGCAGTGCGGGTGCCCCCTGCAGTGTTCAGGGTCCCGCTGCCCTGTCTGTACTTGCTCCTTGGTTCCCTGTGTTCATTGGAGCGCGTGCACTCGGGAGACGGTAACTCAGGCGCCCGCTCTGCACAGACCGGGCCCCGCCTGGAACCTCAGCCCACTGAGCCGCGAGCTCAGGGCATGGGGCAGCTCAGCCGCAGCCTCCCACGTGTCTTGATTTTAAGCAGTTGGGAGTCTTGACCTTTAAAACCATCTATTGTCAACCCACAGGACAGTTCAGGAACCTTCAGGTAGTCACCCTGTCCCCTGAGAGTGCCACCAGGTGAAGCCTGGCTAAGTAGAAGCCAGCAAATGTTTGACCTCAGAGTTGCAGCTGAACCCAGGCCCCGCTCGCGTTCAGTCCTTTCCCGAGAGGGCCGGCAGAGCCTGGGAGGCCTGGCAGAGGCTGCAGATGCGTAGGTCTTCCTGGGCCCCGCGTAACCCACACCCAGCCACAAGTGGAGGGAGCTCAGAGGCCCACCGAGGCCTGGAGGGGGTGCTGGGACAGGCCCCAAACTGTCCGCTTGTCAGCAGCTGAGCCAGGACAGAGCCAAGGCCTCCTGCCCCCAGCCTGGGGCCACCTGCGCTCCAGGGCCGGAGCAGGGCCTGGGGATCAGCTCCGTCACTTCACAGCCAGGAAAGTCAGGCTCGGACTTAGTGGTCGGTGGACACTGAGGAAATGTTTGAAGCTTGTTCTCATTACTCAAAAGCCATGGAAACCGAGTATCCACATTGGACACCAACCTTTTGAGAGATGAGCACAGCAGCTGCGTGTTGTATCTGGGGAGGCCGCAGTGAGAGGCGCGAGTTTCGTTCAGCCTCTGGTTCCATCACGTACCAGCTCTGTGCCCCTGGGGCATGTTATTTGTCCTTTTGAGCCTTGGTTTTCCCATTCATACAGCAGACTTAAGAATACCTGTGTCACTGGGCTGTTGTGCAAACGCGAAATCACCCTCCTCTCCAAAGTGACTCAGCCCTGGATGCGTAGCGCGCAGGCGGCGGCAGCTGTCCCCAGCGTCTGGCTCAGTCTTTGCCTAGTCCCACACGGGGTGCGCCTCCCAGCCTGCCCTGTCCTGCTACCCTTCCCCTGCTCTGGTCCCTGCTTCTCTCGGCGCACTGATGCTCACGGGCTGGTGCCGGGGTGGGTAGCGGCTGCGTGCCCTCCCTGCGGGAAGTTCGGTGTTCTCAGGAGCCCTGTGGGAACCAGACCTGGTGAAGCCCCAGAGTGCTCAGGCCTTGCCAAGAGCTGGGGAGGTGGGTTCCCTGCTCACCTCGCCACCACCTAGGACCTGCTGCTGCTCTGTGGAACTGTGAGAATATAAAATCGTCTTGTTTTTAGCCCTGGCTGGTGAGCTCAGTGGAATGAGTGCTGGCCTGAGAACTGAAAGGTCACCGGTTCGATTCCCAGCCAGGGCACATGCCTGCATTGCAAGCCAGGTCCCCAGCGAGGGACATGCAAGAGACAACTGATTGATGTTTCTCTCCTTCCCTTCTCCCTCCCTCCCTCCCCCTGCCAAAAAAAGAAATAAAATCTTTAAATAAATAAATAAAATTGTCCTGTTTTCGTTGCAGAAATTTCCAGAACTGAAATTCAAATATGTGGAAGAGGAGCAGCCCGAGGAGTTTTTTATCCCGTACGTCTGGTCCCTGGTCTACAACTCCGCCGTGGGCCTGTACTGGAACCCCCAGGATATCCAGTTGTTCGCGATGGACTCCGACTGAGGGCGGCCGCCGTCATCGCCCCCGCTGACCCCAGCCGAGCGGCCCTCCTCGCTACTTTGTTTCCGGGGAACAGACCCCGGCGGGTGGACCTCCTGGTGCACCTTCTGTGAGAGGATCACACCGGCGTGTTTCCTTTGCACACTTGGCTATGGAGAATCGGGGCCGGTCGGCAGTAGATCACTCAGCTTAGGTTGTAGGGCAAGCGGGGGGAAGGGGAATACACAGTAATAAATATTAAAACCTGCCGTCCCACATGCAGTTTATTTCTTTCTAAACCAAAATCTAGAGCTTTGCCAGGAGCCCGATGCCTCAGGCACCTAACACTTCACCCATATATACTACTTGTTTGTCACGTTCAAGATTTGTGTTTCAGTCGTGTGTGTGTGTGTGTGTGTATGAGCGTTTCTTTCCCTATTGAGAAATATCAATCTGAGAAAACGATAAGACAGGAATTAATAAGGAAATGAAGTCGCATGTGCAGTGTGACCCCCTTTCAGAAGGCCCCGGGCTCCATGAACACTGCACCCAGGCAGTTGGCTGTAAGCCTTCAGATCTCCGCATCTTTCCCTCAAAGAAAGAAATGGCTCCTCCTTGTGAAGCCCAAATCAGCTTTTCTGTGGGTTTGGCCTCTGTGCTGTAGCTGAATTAAATTGGAGTCTAGTACAAATTAAATTAATATACTCCGTATTAATCATTAGGAAAAGAAAAGCTTCGCTTCAAAAGCGATCTTTTTTCTTCAATCAGACAGGAGATGAGAAACACGTTTTTCTTCTTCATTTCTGACTTTGTTTCAACTCTCTGGGGCCTAGATGAGCCACGTTTGGTCCCCGAGCTGGAGGAAGGCGCTCCTCCGAGGGAAGCGGCCAGCGCATCCACGGCCGCCCCTTCACAGCCAAGGTGGGGAGCTAGTTTCACTCGCACGGACAGAAAGTAGGCTCTGCACAGAAGCACATAATTCCCTGTGAGACCAGGCGCCCTGCTCCAGCCTGCTGCCCTCTCATCTCCGTTGGGGACTAGCTTCCCTCCTGCCCCCACGTCCCCAGGCCGAGGCCCGAGCCATGTCGGTCCATCACAGTCTACTAAGGGCCTGGGAGGAGCCGTCCTCAGCCCCTCCAAGCTCTGGAAGAGGGGGAAAACCCTGCCGACGTACCATGCACGTTGGTGTGGTCGTGTCCTCCCCCGCCCCCCTGCCCGAAAATGGGGCCGCCCCACCCTGCAGCAGGCTTTCGAGGCTGCTGCGGGGTTTCATTATCCTCGCCCAACCAGTGCTGAAACCAAAGCTCCCCGTGTGGGGAAATGATTTACAGCTTTACTTTGTTTCAGAGGCATTTTGATTTGCTTCCTTTAAACCAAAACACAAAATTTCCAGAGGGACACATGAAGCAACTGAGCCTCTGGGGGGACCTCAGAGCTGTCCTCAGAGGCCAAGGGCCGGGCAGGGCTGTCGGTTCTTGTGACCAGAGCGAGTCCCAGGCTGCCCCAGGCCACCTGGGGCACCAAGGTGCCCCAAAGCCCTGTTCTCAGCAGTCTCCTCTCCCCCAACGCCCTCCCCTCTTGTAAGGAACCACGCCGCGTTAAGTGCTCGCTGGCCTGAAAGCTCCGCTGGGGCGACAGCCTCAGAGCCGTCCTGTGAGTGAGCACATGCTCCCCGACGCCCCTCATCACCGCCTCGGCTCTACGAGCCCGCCAGGAGTCGCTTTTTTTGTGAAAGATTTATTACATGACAATAAATTTAGATGATATACTTGAATTATGCTTGCATTAATTTACTTAGAATTTCTTTGGGGTTTTTTGTTGTTGTTGTTTGCTACAAAGTAAAAATGTGTAGAATGAGGCTCTACAGGACCATCATGTGTTAGGAGGGGAAATGAACATCTGATTTTATGCCAGATACGAAGCTGTTATTGCACTGTGTCAACTTATCAACAATATGTATTTTTAAAAGAATGTGCCCCATTCGAGAGTGCAAGGCGCTGTGCAAAAAAGCTGCAGATTTATATCTGGTTCATACAGTCACGCCCTAAGCCTGGTGTCAGGCCTGTGAGCAACAGCCTTGCCACGTGGGCATCGCAGGACGGCCACCATTCAGCAGTGCAGGGAGAAGCGGGGGTATGGAGCGGGTCAAGGACAAGGACAGAGAAAGGAAAGCAAAGGAGGCCCCTAAAGGTGAGGCACAGAAAGCACCCCGCACACACTGTCCTCCTTCGGAAGGAACTCACAGGAACTGGAAGCGCAGATGGTGTGGAGGAAAGAACGTACGACCAGCATCCAACAGAACAGCAACTTCCTCAAGCCTGGTAGTGTCTACCCCTGAGAGGGTTGTAGAGGGGGTGTGTTTAGGTCCCGATTTCTCGCGGCATTCTGGCGGCAACAGTGTCCTTTAGGCCCTTCGGAGCCGGGGCTCTGCCTTTGGCATTGAGGCTCCCCGCAGTTCTGAGTCACTCTGTGTTCCTTGCTAGAACCATAAATTAGAGTTGTGGTGCTTGCTGATCCTTCCTAGGCTTGAGTATGCAAGGTCAACGCTCTGGGTCATAATTTCCTCCCAGGCACCATGCCTGCAGTTGCAGGAGCTGCCATTTGATATGAGGGACTGATCCCCGGGCTTTCCGACGCCAAGTTCAGGGCTGATCCGGTGTCCTGCGTCGCCTCCAGGAGTCCAGGAGGTCAGGGTTGCTGTTCTCTGATGGAGCGCCACGCTTCCCCTGGTTATGAAAAGCTGAGAGATGGATTGTAGCACACAGATTCACAGCAAATAATTCATTTTTATTTTTCAAGAACTCAAAGCATAAAATGTAATCTCATTAGGGTATCTCCTTTTGGGGTCCCCCATCCAAAACAAGGGAGATTCTTTGGGCACCCCCTCCCCGGTCACCCCCTTGGTCAGGTCATGGAAGGCAGCCCCGACTCCCCCGGCTCCCCAAGGCTGTCCCAAGTGCCGGCTCCTCTGTCCTTGGAGCGTGAAAAGGCCCTTAGAGGAGGAGCAGTCCCATGTGACTGACCAGGTGGTACTCTGCCATCCTGTCGGCTTCGGGATCCCTTCAAACAAAAGGTTTAAATATTTTGGCCAGGTTCCCAAGTTGTCCTTAGCTGGAGGGTTGGTTGGGTGACCTAGTCCTCCATTGCTATCAGTAGACTCTCCTACGTGGATTCTGTGACCCAGCTTCTAAATCACCTCAGTCCCTGAATGTGGATCGCAGTAAAACCGATGACGAGTGTCCCCAGGTGCCTAGTACATGTATGTTCTCTCTGGAGGAAGCAAACTGTTAAGGACTGAATGTATACCCCACCCCAACTCGTACTGAGCCCTAACCTGCAGTGTGACGGCATTAGGAGGAGGTGGGGCCTTTGGCGGTGATTAGGTTTAGATGAGGTCATGAGGGTGGATCTCTCACGATGGGATTTGTGCCCTTATAAGAAAACACATGGAAAAGATTTCTCTTTCTTGCCACCATGTAAAGATACAGCGAGGAGGCCACCATCTATAAGCCAGGAGGAGGGCTCTCACCAGGCACTGAATCATTCAACCTCCAGAACGGTGACAAATACATGTCTGTTGCTTAAACCAGCCAGACTGTGGTGCTTTGTTATGGCTGCCAAGCTAAAATAGGATTACTATCCAAGGCCTCAAATTATTTCTACAATGTTACAATCAGAAATATCCAGGTATACAAGATAATATGAATTAAAACCATCAGAGAGATAAAATATATCCACAGTATCTACAGAAAGTCACAGAATATGAAACAGCGGCACTTTCTGTGTTTGAAGAAAAAAGTGACCAAAGATATCAGGCAATTGGAACCTAGAAAAAGGGACCGAATAGACATTCCGGAACTAAAACATACTATAACAAGAATTAAGAATAATTCAGTGGTTGGATTCGAGAACAGATTACTCACAGCTGAAAAGAGAATGAGTAAGATGAAAAGTCAGCGGAAAAAGAACAGAGTCCAAAAGCCACTAGAGAGGACAGGAGACGTGAAGGATGCAGTGAGAATGCCTGCCCAAAGGTGGGATTAGAATTCCCAAAGAGTAAAAGAATGGGATGCTTACATAAATGTTGGCTGAAAACTTACCCAAAACTCACAAGAGATATCAAGCCATAAATTCAAGGAGTCCCAACAAATGTCAAGTGCAACAAAACAGACAATCTACACCTAGACACCTCCTAGTCAAACTGTTGAAAACCAAAGAAAAAGAAAAATTGGGGGGTGGAGGTAGGGAAGCGGGTATAAAGGGGCTGAATGGTAATGGAAAAATACAATAAAGTAAAAATTTCAACAAATCACACACAAAAAAGTGTTAAGCTCCTGGCTGGTGAGGGATTTGGCAGGGGAAGGAGGGTATTACCATTCAAGGAGCAATAATTAAACAGCAAACTTCTCAGCAGAAACAATGGGAGACTATGCAGGGGTACCTTTAAAGCGCTGGAAGAAGTGACTGCCAACCTAGAGATTTCTGATTGGGGAAAATAATCCTGAAAGAATGAGGGGGAAAAAAGACATTTTTAGACTAACACCTGGAAAAATTCATCAGCACACATACTCTAAAGGAAAATTAAGAGTGTTCAACAGGCAGAAGGCTCAGGGTCCCAAATACGAGGACTGAAGAGCAATGAGAAGGAGAATTGCACAGGTCCGCATAAACACTGACCGCGTGAAACAGCGGCGGAGTCCCAGGGAGTTGTAAATACACATTGAAGTGCATGGAAGTCGAGGTCCGGGGAGGGCTTAGCCGGAGGTCAGCGTTCCAAGCCCCTTGCATCACCCAAGGAGAAGGTAAAAACTTTTTCATTTAATATTAGATTTTGGTAAGTTGAGGGTGCATATTGTAATATATATTAGTAAAAGAGTGTATAACTTTCTTGTTAATGAGGGAGGATGAAATAACTCAAGGGACAGGTTTAATTGCTGCAAGGGAGGATTAGGAGAGAAGAAAAACAGGTGGGACCAATAGAAAGCAGATTGTAAGATAACATGTGCCCAATAATTCCACTTAAAAAAAGATATGTGATAAGTTCATTATTACATTAAATGTAAATAAGCTAATGCTCTAGTTTTGACAGAGATCGACAGCTTGCTTTAAAAACGACCATATGCTGTTTAGGAGATGCTCTTTTAAAACATAAGAATTTAGAAATTTTGAAAGAAAAGAATGGAGAAATATATGTGATATACCCAGCAAACAGTAACCATAAGGAGCTGTAGATATAGTAATATTACAATAAACTTTAAGGCAAAAAAAAAATT